CTTCGGCTGAAGGGCATCAGAATTCAGGAAGTGAAAAACTACGTCCTTCTGCCAGTGTCAGGCGTGTGTTTTGTTTTGGAGCACGCAGAGGGCGCAAATCACGCGACCTCGTCAGGCTAGCAAACACCGGGAGTAGTAAATGTAATATAAAATCCGTTTGTGTAATGATATCGTCGTGGTTAATAGAAACGATTTTACTAAAAAATATTTTAAACGTGTTCCAGTGACGATTTGTGTCTGATCTGAAATATATAATATTGTTCTGGTGTAAATATGGTTACAGCCCGGCCTTGGGATGATTCCAAGTGGATAAATCTATCACAATTTATTGACAGTCCATTGAGGACTGAATATACAAATTCACTGTTCCCCGTAGAAGCACGTGTTGTAGAATACGACGTGCACTATTAGTTGTACAAATGTACGCAACGATATTGATATATTCGACAGCCATATATCGAAGTCGTCAAATCGGACGTAGTACTAGAACTTAACTTCGACCTGAATTGCTACAATCAAAACATCCGGTTCAGGAAATCCCTTCTCATAACCTTGGGTATTTAATGCGCATGCGCCATTTGATAAGCAGGCAGACAGTCAGACCTGCTAAGTTGTTGATAGCAATACTTACTTAGTTGAAGAACGCGAAGTGCCCTGGGCTTAGAGAAAACGTAGTTGAGGCATACATTCAATTGTTTTAACCGCAAACTATTTACACTAGTCACAATATAGCGGCTCTAAACAATTGTTGAAGCACAGCCCCGTGATTGAGGGACTGTGCTGTAAGCAATAAAAAAGGCACGCTAGGAGTGTAATTGAAAGTTAGGGGGTCTGAATTAAAGAAAGTAAAAAGTCGTGTGTATTGGAACTATCAAAGTTTGTTGGTATTAGTTTTCAGCTCGACATATCTAAAGATTTGTTATTATTGAACCACGTTTTGTGCAACAGTTTGCCTTCATTTGATCGTTTAGCACTGGAATATTATGTTATAGTGGAATTCGTGCACACA